ACAAATCTTTCCTGAATTTCCCAAAAAAGTTCATGTGTTCTTCAAGAAACACATGGACTTCAACCGGAAAACTCATGAACCACCAACGAATCCAAGAATAATTTGCAGAAATTCATACAAGTTGAAGAACTTACTTGAATATTCAAAGGTTGAAGATGAAAATCTTGGGATGGCAGGAGCAGCAGCGACGAAGACGAGATCTCCAGCAACAAACATGTTGCAGAGCGAAAGATAAGGAGGAGAGAAATCTTCGTAAAGTGTAGAATGAAATTTCGCCCCCTTTATATAGGCTCCCTTGCTCGTATGGGGAAGCACAAAGGGAAAAACGCCATCATTGCCTAGCCTCTTAGCCTTCCAGGCCTTAAACAAATTTTATTGCGTCGTCACGTGGCACAGAGTGCCTGCCACTTGACATCCTCAAACTGACCCCTCACGTGTTTGTTAAAAGACAAGTCTTTTCAGTTCCCAACAGGCACATTCTCCTCGACGACGTCACCAGATCAATATCCAAGCAAGAGCATCTTCGACATTTTCTTCAGCCTAAGAACAAGTCTGATCGACACAAAACGCACGACTCATCTCCGAGGAGGTCTCGTGTGACCCACAATCGACCATATCAATGTAACGCACTTGCGCGTCCCCGAAGTTTTTCGCTTAATAAATAACAATCTCAAAGACGTCCCCGCAATGCGGTTCCTGCCCCTTGGCCGCACAAGCTATGTTAACTCAAGTCATTACTCCTCGCCTCGAAGTAACGACTCGGGGGCTCCTGTTCTGGACTGGCGCCTGCCCCACAGCTGGGCAAGGCCCAATCTAGTCTAGCTTAAGGCCAGATCTAATACGACCATAGGGCACAATATAGTCGTTGGACACAATATAGTCGTTCGACACAATACAGCCGTTGGAGCACAATATAGCCGTTAGACACAATTCATGCGACCAACTCCCCCTCCGAAAGTCACGACGACAGTTGGACCAGGTAAAAGATCACACGCTAGATCTTCCACCTGACAGTCCTCCATTGGCCAACCAGATACTTCGGCTACATGGGAGACCTTGGCCCTGCGCTGGAGGAAAACTTATAAATACCCTCTCTCTTGAGAGGGTCAGATATTCTAATCATTCTTGCTCATTCCTAAACACTCGTACTTGCTTTCTCTCTTTAGCCTAAACACTTACTTTGACATTAGAGTACCTTGCAGGTACAACCCCCTCCTCTCCTATAACCACTGTTGCTGCTCTACATTGAAGGTCAAGACGATCTATTCTGATCACTATATATATATATATATATATATATATATATATATATATATATATATATATATATATATATATATATATATATATATATATATATATATATATATATATATATATATATATATATATATATATATATATATATATATATATATATATATATATATATATATATATATATATATATATATATATATATATATATATATATATATATATATATATATATATATTATTAATGAGATTTGCTAACGTATACCCACTTATTTTTATGAAAGTCTATTTTAGCAACATACACCTTAAAGTGCATCTAACTATTTTTTAGTTAAAATTTATTCATATAGACTTTCATAAATACAAATAGGCGTATTATAACAAACTCATACATTCACTTATTTTTATAAAGATCTACTCTAGTAACATTCACCTTAAATTACATCTAACTATTTTTTAATTAATAAAATAAACTTGTTAGATTAATTATTTAATTAATCAAATATGGATTGACATAATTAATTATTAATTAATTATATTATGGTCTATTGTTATTAAACACTAAATAGATGAATTGTTTGATTGAGTTTTGTGCCTGAATGGACCGTAATGGGTTGGACCATTTAGTTAAGCCCAATGAGAGGTCTCTGCCCTCAACCGTTTAGCTATTTAAGTGTCTCCCCATTAGACAATTAAACTACTCTGGAAATCCTAAACGGCAATGAGGGTAGTAATTCTCTCATACTCACAAGCTTCGACAACCGTCTCTTCAATCTTATAAGGTACACCGTTCTAATTATTCTTGATTATTGTTAGATTAAACAATATACTATAATTATTGTTAGATTAAACAATATACTATAATTTGTATCTATTAAATTCATTTAAATCCTTCAATTGGTACCAGAGCCCCATAGATACGTTTTATAGTTATCGCTTGAATTATATGATTTGAATTAGTGTATGGTTTCTATTTGTTTTGAGTTGACAAGTTAAATAATTAAACTTGATGCACTAATTTTATATAATTCATATTGAATGTAAATAGTGGATTTTCTTAAAATTAGAAAAAATTTAGATCTAATATTTAAATAATTTGATCTAATAATTTTAGAAATTTATTGACATATAAATTTCATATTTAAAATTAAGGTATATTTGAGTTTGAAAAGGTGATCCTATTTTTTAGCTTAATAATTAATATCATACCAGAAATTAGTATTATATTGTGATAAAAGAAATTAGTCACTTTGATGGATAAATTTATACTGACATGATACTATATTTATATTAATTTTAATAATTAATTAATTAATTAAGACGTAAAGAATTGTTTTTGATTTTAATATAAAATTCTTTTTTATTATGTTCTTTTATGTCAGTGAATATGATATTGGCCTATAATCTTGTTTCTATAACGTAATATGTTTCTTAAATGTGTGTAGTTATACTTATAACATTTGAGTTTTGAGCGAGTTATGAATTTGATCTCACTCAAAAGATGGTAAATCTTTTATAGGACCATCATATTATTTCATGTAAATTATCTAAATAAAGATATATTCTATTGACGTGTAAAATATGTGGTTGAGTTTGATGATATATTATAGAACTACTTCTCTATATAATTTTGCACTAAAAATAAAATTAGCACCCCCGTTGTTCAATCAGAGTATTTAATATTAGTGGTATCTGATAAATCCTTATCATATTGGATTAGTGGAAGTGGATTGCATGTGAACACAATCATATAATCTAAAATTTTGGATTATTATTCTCATAGTGTCATATATTCTTGCGCGCACTGGAAATATGATATATTCTAAAAGGACTTCAAAATATAAAATAATTATAAGAAGTCTTATTCTGTTATACTGAGATATATATTATTCTCTTAATCTCAGGAAACATCATAATTTGATGTTTAGGTTGATATTGAAAAGACATAATAATTCTTTATCGTGCAATAATATTGTGTTATTATATCTTCAATAGTCCATATTTGTCAGGTCATAATATGAAATTACAAGTAAATATCAATACTCCTATCGAGTATGATATTGTGTTATGAAAGTACTTATAATTAAATGTAATTACTCTGTTAATGGGGTATTCCTATATGTAATTACTATTCTTAGACCTATGTGAATATTCTATGGCCTATAATTTAAAACTCATTAGTATAATCACTAACCATAGACTTATACACATGAGTAAGTCTTATGATACTTTGGGTTAGTGGGAGTTTATCAATAGCATTTTCATATGCTTGGGCCATTCTTTATAACATATTACTCTGAAGTTAAATATGTTACTCTAAAGTCATCATTTTTTATATAAAGTTGTGAGTTTTAACCTGTATGATTTGTCTTCCCTATTGGATACAATTTCTGCAGCGTTGAAACTTACTTCTTTTGATTGATTGGTGTTTTGACCATTATTGATATTCTAATACTAGAATCAATATTTTTAATAATTAATTATATTATGGTCTATTGTTATTAAACACTAAATAGATGAATTGTTTGATTGAGTTTTGTGCCTGAATGGACCGTAATGGGTCATACCATTCAGTTAAGCTCAATGAGAGGTCTCTGCCCTCAGTCGTTTAACTATTTAAGTGTCTCCCCATTAGACAATTAAACTACTCTGAAAATCCTAAACGGCAATGAGGATAGTAATTCTCTCATACTCACAAGCTTCGACAACAGTCTCTTCAATCTTATAAAGTACACCGTTCTAATTATTCTTAATTATTGTTAGATTAAATAATATACTATAATTTGTATCTATTAAATTTATTTAAATCCTTCAAAACTTTCATAAAAATAAATGGGTCTACGTTAACAAATCTCATATAAATTTTAATTACGTGTTAGTAATAACGATTTCAAAGATCACTAATGATATAGTATCATTATTGATCTTATTATATTATTATTCTAGACAAATTGGATAAGGATGTCACATTTTGGTTCAAACTTTGCTTTTATAGACGTGGATATGATTTTATTTTAAAAATAACTATATAATACTGATTTGATTTTTATTACAATAAAAATTTTACCTTTTGAAATTATTGAATAATTAATATATTTTAAAAAAATAAAACTAGATATATTATTTATTTAATTAATATAAAAAAATTAATAATTTTCTTATAATATTTTTTTATATATAACATCAAAATATTATTATGAGATGACAATAGTATTTTATTGCGTGTAGATAACCTTGAATTGATAATTAAAAACTACTAACATATCCATTTACAAGTGCATTTAGATGCATGAGTCGTCAAAATACAAAAATCCAATCAAGGGAGAGTAATGATAAATAAGTATATTGTTTTTTTCCTTATATAAAAATTGCATGTAATAATTGTATTTTTGTTCGAAAATGGCAAGTAATAATTATTTTGATTTTTAGCTTTTAATTCAACACGTGTTGCGTGCAGATCTGAATTCAACAGGTGTTGAGAAGCTATTGGATATAACACGTGATCATTTCAACACAACTACCCCTTGGCATTGCGGTAATTTCGTGGTGAGAGTGAGGTCAATTCCAACAAGTCAACTCTTTGTAACATCCAAATTTCCCTTTCACCTTCTTCTCCAATTTCGTTTCTCACTTTCTCTCTTCCTTTCAATCAATTTCTCCTTCGTTTTCATTTCGATTCTGATTTCGATTCTGATTTTGATTTTGATTTTGATTTTCTCGAACATTCAGTTACAGTTACCGCCATGGATGAAACCTACGCTCCCTTCGAGTCCGCCGAATCTAACGGAGTATCTCGCGCCGCCGATCACGGCTGGCAGAAGGTTACCTACGCAAAGAAACATAAGAAGAAGGAAGCTAACGGTGTCGCCGGTTCTAACAAACTGACGTTTAACGGCAACGATGCGGCCTTCCGGTCGCTCGAGCTGCACTCGGAGGATCGGCGTCGGCGCATTCTCGAGGCGCAGTCTGCGGCTGAGGCCGATTTCGATGATGCTCCGGTCAGATCGAAGCAGAGGTCACGTCTTAATGATGATGACTATGATGAGGATGATGAGGATGTGGATCGCTCGGCGGAGAACGGGAAAGTGGAGGAGAAGAAGGTGAAGAAGGAGAAGAAGCCGAAGAAGCCTAAAGTGACGGTGGCTGAGGCTGCAGCGAAGATTGATGCGGCTGATCTGGAGTCTTTTCTCGTTGATATATCTGTATGGTGTTTGATTTGGTTAATTTTGAATTTGAACACGCGTGATTAGGTTTTATGTTTGGATTTGATCTGTTGGATTACGTTAGAGCTTGATCAAGAGATCATGCATTGTGTTTGATCTTGTTTGAACTTATGCATGTTTGTTTTTATGATAGGCATCCTTCGAGCAGAAGGAGGATATACAGATGATGCGGTTTGCGGATTATTTTGGACGTGCTTTTTCTTCCGTGAGCGCTTCTCAGTTTCCCTGGGTGAAGTTGTTCAGGGAGTCAGCTGTAGCTAAGATTGTTGATGTGAGTTTGAAATTCTTTATTTTGTTGTTCTTTCATGTTGATTTTAACAATGCAATAAGTTGTGGAATTGAAAGATTTCACTGTTATTATGAGAATGGTGCTGGTTAATATATGTTCTGTTGTTGATTTTAACAATGTGATGAGAAGTCATGGAATTGAAAGCTTTAACTGTCATTATGAGAATGATCCTGGTCAATTTATGCGTGTAATTGTGATATATGTTTTGTTGTTTTTGGATGAATCACTGATTATTATTAGCTGGATTACAATTCAATGCTTTGAACGTGTAAGTAGCCCAATTTCTGCTTCATGATTTGTGATTAAGCTGTGCTCAAAATTCACTTTTGCATAGGGAAACCCCATACAATGAGGGTATATGATAGGAAATCACACTTATATGGCCCTTTCTACAAACTTGAATAGCAAAAGTCTTTTAATTGTTCGGCACATGCTTCTCATACATGAATTATTGATCTTTATGCCTTTTTCTACGAAGTTTAAATATTAACTTGTTGTGGTATTAGATATTTTAGTTTTTAATGCTTCACACTCCCTCATACTACAGGGCTGAAGTGTTTATAAAATTCTGCATCTACTGTTTAGCTAATAATGCTGAATCTATTTCTATGTTTGGGTTAATAATATTTTACACATTCTACATTTTATCCTAATGTCTCTTATCATAACATCTGTTCTATTTTCTGATTTTCTCCGAGTTTTTCTCCTTATTACTAAATATTTATATCTTATCAGGTGCCACTTTCTCACATATCTGATGCTGTATACAAGACATCAGCTGACTGGATAAATCATCGATCTCCTGAGGCACTCAGTTTCTTTCTTCTGTGGTCTTTGGATAGTATTCTTGCTGACTTGGCTAGCCAGCAAACTCTGACCAAGGGTTCCAAAAAGGCTGTGCAACCAGTAACTTCAAAATCTCAGGTAACTTATACTAGTCTTATTTGCCATGAAATTATGGTTGTATTCTCTTATTTTTAATTTCTGTTTCTCCTATGTGAAATCTAATAGTAACGTCACCCACCAACAGAAACCATACTAAGCCAAGGCAGAGCAGTATGGTTTTTTGTTCATGATTAAGGGCCAGTGTACACTTTGGTACAATCCATGCCGCTAACACCAAAGACAGGCCTAGCAAATAATCTTGTCCCAAAGAATGATTAGTTTCCTTTATAAGTCCAAATATTCCTTTCCAACCAAAATGGAAACCCAATAGGGATACTGGATTAGTGAATGCCTTTGATGTTCTCTAACATGTTCAACAGTGGCAGTGCAATTTAATATTATGATATATTTTTGAGATAAGTCATAAGGTCTTACGATAAACATCTCATTTTAACTGCTGTAGTGGCCCTGGTTGATGTAAATTGTGAGAGGCTGGGAGGAGGCATGACGTTGATTAATTTTAGTCAGTTTTTTTTTCTCATCTTCCCCTTTTCTATTGAATCTTCATTGACTTGTTCATTGAATATGATTGAATGTTCAACATCAAGCCAGATAGAGGAACTTCTGGCAAGCCCTATTGGATAGGAAGTCAATTGAGGAGTGCTTTTATGACTGGGAAGCCCTATTGGATAGGCAGTCAATTGAGGAGTGCTTTTATGACTGGGAAATATCATTATATGCATTTATAATTTTTGAAATATTTTCCCCCTTTTGGAGGGGCATTTAATTCTTGTAGCCAACCCAACCTAGTGGGATAAGTCTTGGTTGTTGGCTGTGATGGCATTTAGTGACTTTGGAGGTCCACTATCCATGTTCTTTGTCCACCTTTGGTAGTTCAGAACAGTTGGCAAAATAGTGTAGCCTGTTTGACTTTCAGTATTCAGTTCACATGGTGTTTTTGTCTTAATGTTGAAAGCACTAGGAAATGAAAAGTAGCAGAAACGAAAACAAATGCTTCTGTCTTTTGACTGCAACAGGTTAAATTTGATTTAGAGAGTTGTGCTGTGCATTGTTGTTTCCCTGTTTTCAGACTTCAAACAACCTGAGTTTTATTTATCAGGGGCTTATAAAAAAACTTATCAGATTTTTGTGATTTTTGGTCCCTGGAATTTATATGACTATTAATAGTTTTTCAAAATGCAAATATGTTTTCTTCTCCTGTTTTTCAGATGTAGATTGAGATTGTATTCACATGACCTGCAGGTTGCAATATTTGTTGGTTTAGCGATTGTATTGCGCCGAAAGCCCGATGCTCTTATTGCTGTATTGCCCACATTGAGGGAAAATACAAAATATCAAGGACAAGATAAACTTCCAGTGATTGTATGGATGGTTGCTCAGGTAAGGAGTAGATGCCAGATCAATCAAGTGGACTCGTTAGAAATTAGAAATAGAAAAAGGAATTCTTTTTTTATTTTTTCAAAAGGATAACTATAGTTTTTTTACCCCTTCATCTTATTAATGCTTAATAAACATTCTATGTAGGCTTCAGTAGGAGATCTCTCAGTAGGGTTGTATGCTTGGTCGCGGAACCTCCTTCCTATAGTTGTTAGCAAAAGTGGCAACCCGCAATCCAGGGATTTAGTTTTGCAGCTTGTGGAAAAGTATGTAAATATTTGTGGTATTCTTTCCACCCATTTCTCACTATTGCTGTCGACATCTTCACCATTATTTTATTTTTTAAAATTTATTTGCAGAATTTTGTCTGCCCCCAAAGCACGGCCTGTTTTGGTTAATGGTGCTGTAAGAAAAGGGGAACGATTAATTCCTCCTCCAGCATTTGAGACTTTGTTGCGTGTTACTTTCCCGTCTTCGGCTAGACTGAAGGTGATGCTCCGCTGCCTTTGTTATTTTTGCATTTGGGTGTATTATAGCTCTACAGCTTTCAAATTTATGTCAATATGTTGCTTTTATACAGGCTACAGAAAGATTTGAGGCCATATATCCCACTCTGAGAGAGGTGGCTCTTGGTGGTTCTACTGGAAGTAAAGCAATGAAACAAGTCTCACAGCAGATATTCAATTTTGCTATCAGAGCAGCTGGAGAAGGTAAGGAAGCCCGATTTTATTGTTTGACTTCTACTATCTTTTCTTGCTTTTGATGAACCAAGTGTTTTAGAAGGTATTTTGAAACAATATATTGTATTTTTCAGACAATCCTGAGTTATCAAAAGAAGCAGCTGGCATTTCCATCTGGTGTTTTAGCCAAAGCACTGAATGCTACAAGCAATGGGTGAGTTGTTCCATCTAAAAGCATATTTAAGATATTGCTAGTTTTTGTAACCTATTTTATGAAGAGCATGAAATTTTATTACAAGAGAGAAGTTTTTTATTTATTTATACACTGCAATCATGAAACTCTACAATTATTTGCTCTTATTCTCTATTGGATATGGGCAGGAAAAAGTTTATCTGGACAACATTGTCGCAAGCGTTGCAGTTTTAAAGAAGCTTTCTGATGATTGGAAGGTGCAAGCTACAAAATTGTCTCCTTATGAGCCACTTAGGGAGATTCTAAAGAATTTTAGGCAAAAGGTAGTTTTTCAGCCATCTGGGTCACATACCAGTCCACCTTGACATGGACTGATTGAATTGTTTTTATTGTATTGAAGTAACAGAATGTTTGAACTTGGTATATATGATGATTTAACTGTTTTGGCTGCAGAATGAGGAAGCATTGGCATCTGAGACCGGTGCTGCTCGATTCGTCAAGGATGCAGATAAATATTGCAAGATACTCTCAGGAAGAGTTTCTCAAGGCCATGGAGGCAAGGCTTGTTTGACCTTTGTTGTTCTTGCTTTGGCTGTTGGCGCTGCTGTTTTGTACCCCAACATGGAATCTGTGGATTTCAATAAACTCTCTGTACTTTTAAACTCCCAGTTCTGAGCACTAGGAGAATATTCTGCACTACTGGCAGTTGGTTGCATCAAATAGTGATTTTCTCTTCAGCTCACATCATCCACAATGAGTACAGCAAACAATTGCTTCGTAATAAAGTGCATAATGCGGGAGGTTGTACACTTAGCTCAAAACCTGTTCAGATGTCACAGAATAGTTGAGGTCAATGCTACTTTGAGGTTTACTTTAGTTTGACCATTTTATAATTTATTTTATGTTTTTGCTTGTTGAGTCTTAAAATTTCAGTATCTTATGCCTTTGCATCACAACGCTGGCAAAATGCCAATGAGGCAACTACTACACCTGTATTATGAAGTTATTTAGTTGAATCAAAGGAGTTTTGATGGTACACTGATAAGTTTCTTTTTATAGCTCTTGCACTATTTGCACTGGCTTGTGTCTTTTCAACCGTCTTTTCTGGGTTCTCCATTTACCCTTCTGTTAATTGAACAACATTTTGAGCTTGTCATATGGTCGAAAAAGAACAGGATATATGATTTCTCTTAGTGAGAGAAGGAAGAAGTTGATGATTACTTTCGGTAATATACATCATTGACAGTCCATACTTTTTAGAGTTAAATGGATTTGTATTGACCATATTCTGTCACCTGATTTACTTGTGCTAATTTGTTATTATTTTTTTGAAAATTGTCACTAAACATTCTGTTTGGTGTGACATGATTGATTAATATTGTAACACTATAATTTTAATTCATTCATATAGTCATTAAGGTCCTTGAGATTTTATCATGATGCTGGAAGGTGGTTATTATGATCAATTTCATAAATGAAAGATGTTTTTTGCTTGGCTTAGAAATTTTTGTTGTAAAAGTCACACGAAGAACTTTGATTGAATTGTTAGTATTTTTTATTTGATGAGTAGAAATAGCTCTTAGATCAAGTACATCTGAAGGATTAGTTAGACAATTACCACTTACTCAATGACCACATTTTGGAAATGGAGATCACAAACAGCTCCCAGACCTCGATTAGCCAAAGGTTTGACCAGATAGGGTGGTCCTCGGATGCTTCTTTCATTTGCAGACGAACAAATTGACAGTACCAGCATGAGGTATTTATCATGTCCTAGCTTGGTGGCCATTGTTAAAACATCCTGCATCCACATTAACTTAGGTCCACGTTAAACTCACAAATCACCTGGTTAGCCGTTCTTGCAAAAATAGCTAACTTAAAACAGTTTTTGCATCCCAAATCTTCGAAAGCAATTAGCAAAACAATAGGGTTGCCAAGTGTCACCACAATAGAGCCAATAGTAGAGCTATTTGAGCTAGATGATTGGATTTTGGTTGGAAGGCGGTCTGATACCTAGCAAGCCAGAGAACCAAGTCTAAAGGGTTGGTTGACAATGCATTAGAAGGTTCAGATTAACTTTATAGCAATGCTTAATTTTACATGCGTTCTCCTTTGTAGGCAGGATGTTCTTGACTAATCTCCACGGGAAGATTTTTATCTTGTTAGAGATTTGAGCTTTAAGAGCTTGGGAGGTGCCTGTTGCTCTCATTTAATATTTAGGATTTGTTTAAAAGTGTGGAGGGAAGGGAATTTTTTTTTTTGGAGAGTGAATTTGATGAAAATTTAGAAAAAAATTTAATATTTTTTTAGATATTATTTTTTATAGAATAATAAATATATATTTATTAATATATTTTTAATTTCAAAAATATTATAACAACCATTTGAAGAATTTATTTAAACAATTTAAAGTCCTCTAAATCTTCTTATACAATTTGAATATTCTAAAATTAAGATTAAAAGAATTTTGTATTATGAACAAAAATTAGTAGCATATCCATACATCATGTCATAATTGAAAAATGAATGCCTATTTACTTTCTTTTTATATTTTTTTTACCATTGTGGTCTCACTCAATGTGAACTTTTTAAATATTTTTTCAAAAGAAATGAGATTGTAGCAAAAGATGATCTCCCTCCTCACTACGAAAATACCCCCATCCTTTAAGATTTGGTGGTTGCCTCCTACTAATATGGTGGTTTCTTTTTTCTTTTAGTCTTTGTGGCAGTAAAATTTTTTGAGAGTAATACTCCATCCAGATATATTCTTATATTTTTACCGAAACTAACTCACTCTTAAAATGCTATTTCTCTTCCCCACAAACTACCACTAGGTCTTTATTTTCGCTGCTGTGGCCGCTACCGAAACCATCACCACCAAAAAATATAACATTGATTTATGTACCTCTTTTTCCTATAACCGCTCTGGCATCTTCAATTTTAACAACCATTCGCTCACCTCCAAAGTTACTATGAATTTTTTACAATTTGCAGCTACTCTGCTTATCAGGTCTGGTTATCTATATTTATACATTTTTTGTGTGTTGTTGTTTTTGGGATTTAAGATTACACTTTTGGTGTTTGAAAATAAGCTTCAAAAGACTTTTGTATCTTGGAGCAATTTAGTTTATGTCTATTGGCTTCTTGTAGTAACTATTGGCATTAAATTTCAAACAATGAGAAAATTAGACAATCTTGAGACTAAAAAGATATTCGAAATGAGCAAAACACAAGTCAAAGAAACCATCTTTAATTGAATTTGAAAAAAAAACTGAATTTTCATTCTCATATTGTCATTGATGGTGTTCCTAAGAGAGAGGACGAGTGGTTGATATGTTATTTTTGTTGGTTTGTTTGTGGTTTCTTATTTGTGATAATCTATGTGTATTGTCTTGTATGATTATATAACTTTTTCTCTTAACATTGTTTCGAGATTATGGATGATGTATGCTCAATTTCAAGTGTCCCATGATATTTGTAATCCTTGATGTTTTATCTATTAGTGGAGTTGTGTTTAGTGTAAAAAAAAATATTAAAATTTTAAGGGAGTTTTAAACATTAATGATAATTATCATATCGAATAAGAACAAGATAACAACTTGGACATCACATTTTCAATTAATATTTTAAGATATTAAATATTCGAGTCTTATCAATTATATGTTATTTAATATTTACATACCTTTTTTTTAATCTAATGTAGAACTTATAACTTACTCTTGACACATCAACATTTAACTCGAAAATTAGTCTTTTATAGTTAAGTTCAAATGATACTTTGTGTATGTAAAAAAAAGGTATTAATTTTATTAGTTTAGTTTTTACTTTCAAATATGGTGGATTAATGATTACTATGATACCACTTGTTTTATAATTCAAAGAAGGTTAATGTTCATAACTACAAAAGAGGAATACACCACATCTCTAGTTAAAATTTTAAAACATTAAACATATGAGTCATATTTTTTATAAATTTAATATTTTATCCATTCATAGGCATCTCGAGACTTAACTACTCACACTTGAATTCAACAATATCAGACACAAATGTAAGTCTTCCACATTGTATAACATGATCAAATACGAGATACAAATCTAATTCCCCTACCAAACTGAATAAGAGTTCTGATACCACTTGATGAGAAGTTCAGAGAAAAATTCAATACTCTAGTACTACAAGAAAGATATACCATGTATTTATTCCAAAAGTTTAAGGCTTTGTTTGAAAATTTGGATGGGAAGAGAATGGAAAACTTTGAAAAATGGAAGGATTAAGAGAAAAGAATGGAGAGTTTTAGGTAGAGAGAAATTTGAAGTTTTTTTTATGCATAATACAAAATCCTTTTAATTTGGGGGAACAACATTTTTTTTATCGGAGAAAGAGTTTGAATAGTTTAGATAAATTATTCAAATGTAATATATGTTATTATAATATTTTGAAAATAAAAAATATGTATATCGAAAATATTTATTAATCATTTTTTACAAAATTATTCTTTAAAAAATGTTAAAAATTTCTCTGTATTTTTAAATTTATTGTTTCGAAGTTCTCTCTTCCCCTCCCTTCCTAACTTGCAAATAACGACTAATACTTTAGGTATATGAGTCACAAATAAATTTAATATTTTACTCATTCACTGATAATGTGAAACTTAATCACTCACACTTGAAAACTTAATAATCTTAACTTAATCACTCACACTTGAAAACTTAATAATCTTTTCCACAAGTGTGAGTCTCCTTCGTTTAACATGATCCAATAAAGTACCTGAGTCACATCTCTTATATATTCAATATTTTATATATTTTTAATTATTTTGATCTAACTATTTATACTTAAATTTTAACAATTTTCCTTTCAAATGTGAGTCACCCATATAATTAGACTTAATCTATAACAAGACCCTAAACTGACTTTCTCACCAAGACAAATTTAAATCTGATACCACTAGTTGAGGAGTTCAAAGAGCAACAGAGTAACAATTGACTAATCATACAAAACTCTTAAGAGACTTTAACACTACATCTCAAGGCAAAATCTTAAGGAATTAAGTATATGAGTCACCTCTATTATAAACTTAATATTTTATTCATTCATAGTTAATGCGAGAGTTAACTATCCACACTTAAGATGAAGAATCTTCCTTATAAATGAATCTTATATATCATATAAAAGGATCAAACTCATGCTCCCCATCAAGACAAACCATGATTATGATATTACTTATTGAAAATTCTGAAGAAGTGGAGAGCAACAACGAGATTAATGCTACAAAAATATAAGTGAGAAACACACCACGTCTCCACAAAAATCTTAAAGTATTAAATATAAGAACAATATATCTTTTATATCTAACTTTTTACACATTAATAGGAAATTTGTGACTCAACCAATCACACGTAAACTCAATAATTTTATCCATAAGTGTGAGTTTCTACCATTTATAGCATAACCCAACACTTAATCCAACTCCCCCTTCCTTCCAACTTGCATGACCCAACACTTGATCCAACTCCCCCTTCTCTCCACCAAGTTGAACCACTTATTTTCACTTGTGTTGAACAAACAACTCCAAATACGAGAGAGAATTTTGTTACTCGGATTTCAGAAGATTTTTCACTAAAATAATTTATATCAAAATCAGAAATAATTAGAGATTAAACAGTGAAAAAGACAAAATAAAATAAATACAAAGATACAGGGTAAGAAAGATCGCAAAAGAGATTATCCTAGTTCGGCCTTAAACCACGCAACCTACTCTAATTCTCAAGAGTTTTTTCTTGAGATTTAAATTAAATAACAATTTGAGCTTTTACGCAGATTCAATCCAACAAACTTAAACAACTTGAGCGTTTGCACATGATCAACCCAAAAAACTTACATAAATAACTTAAGCTTTTACATAGGTATAACCCAACAAACTTAAATAACTTGAGCTTTTGCATAAGATCAATCAATTAACCTTACATAAATAACTTGAATTTTCACACAAGTTCATCCCGACAACCTTAAACAATTTTTTTTACAAGTTTAGTTTGAAACCTTCAAATATATTACAAGATCACAAGAGAACTATACTTTTGAATAAACAAATTCAGCATAATAGTAAAACACCACAACTCTCAGATGAAGTTTTTCACTCTCAGCACTAAGTCAATGGCTAGTGAATAAAATATATAGAAGAATGAGGATATGAAAGATAGAAGATATGATTATTAAAAAAAATGGGGTATTTTTAGAAGTGAGGAAAGTTCTTCTTTATATAGGAAATAATTTGGCTAAAAAAATAAACAACCTATGGACTTTGATGCTTCCTAATTGATTAGAACACCTACTTAATCAATTAAGTTAAGTGAGAGAAGAGAATACCCTAATTTGTTAAGTCATTTAATCAATTAACAAATCTACCTAATCCATTAGGAGACATTACTTTCACTTTAATTGATTAGACAATTAAGTTTTTCTTTTCTAATTAATTAGAAGACTTCTTAGTTGATTACATACCTACCCGAATTAATTTTAAATTTTTTAAATAAAAAGATGACAAATTTAAAATATTTGTGTGTGTGCATTATCTTAGTACCGCTTGACTTAATCTTACTTTATTTACATTTAAATGATCAAACTACAAGGTAAAACACTAAGCGCAAGATCATGTCAGATTTCACAACTTGAATTCCTTTCGATTACTTGATTTAACTTTGTTTAACTCTTTCAACTAAAATCGTGAACATTTTTTCTTATACTTATTTCTTGATTGATGATACTTATGATATATTCATTCTTATTTAGTTGTATCATTAAAAGTTTTAAAAGACATTGATCTGCACAATATATATAATCATAATTTATTAGGAGAGTATGAAAAAGTCAAGAGAAATAACGAGTCAAATGCTCCAAAACAACAAGAAAGATGCACCACATCTCCAGCTACCACTCTTGCACAATATATATAATCATAATTTATTAGGAGAGTATGAAAAAGTCAAGAGAAATAACGAGTCAAATGCTCCAAAACCACAAGAAAGATGCACCACATCTCCAGCTACCACTCTTATAAACATACCACTCTTATAAACAGGGACAAATCTATGTTATGGAAGATGGGGCTCTTGCCCCACAAGAATAATAACCATCGTTATCCTATTATATACGTTACTAAATGATGTATATTTATTTAATATTTAATTTTTTGTCAATCTCAAATATTAGAACTTGCTTCACACACAATCACCACATATTTGTTTTAACTATCCTCTACCATTCTCTTCTATAGAATAGTCTTTTTTTTATTTTTATTATTATGAATATTTACTTATTTATTTAATATTCTCTATGTGAATATAGTTTAAAAAAATTTAATAAGGTGTTAAATATTTTTCTGTTATAAATTTGTATTAAACAAAAAGATTGATTAAATTGTAGTCAATATCATTAGAAGATATATTATTGAAACTTTATTTGAAAAGCTTTTTAATAACATTAACAAAAATAAAATATCATGCTATTATTTTAAAATTAAAAATAATATTAATTTTAGGATTCATCTTGATTGTTTAAGTTATAAAAAATTATATTAATTTCTTAACTTTTCAAAATCTTAAGTATTCAAATTTATATTAATCTTTTTGTCTAATTAACAACTAAAAAATTAAAAAAAAAATCTTTAAGTATTAATATTGTTAGGGGAGATTTTCATTAGTGAGCATTGAATATTGTGAGATTTTTCTTTCTAGAAGAACATTTTTGTGAGAGACACACCACATATTCACCCAAAATTTTAAAATGATAGGTGTATGTATGAGTTCTCTCATTTATAAATGTTCAAGTTATCACATTCCTATTCAATGTGGAACTATTATTCACACTATTTACACTTGTTAATATTTAATAAATATAATATATTTTAAAAAATTAAAGAATTAATATTAATATTTTTTAAATTAAAGGATTAAAATAAATTAAAAAATTAACATACAGAAAAAAATATTAAACAAAAATCTAGGAGAGTGACTTTAAAAAATAAAAGAATTGTTTTGGAATTTTAACTCTAAATATAAATTCAAAATAAGTGATTAGTTGAATTACATGTGAACTATTTTTAATTTTTGTATATCATTTCTCTTTCATATGCAATATGAGACTTAAACCCTCGTACTTAAACTCAATAAATTTCTCCACAAGTTTGAGTCTCACACATCATACAACGGGAACAAACACATGACTCAACTGTTACACCTCCATGAACCTAACAAAGACTCTGATTCAACTTATCAGAAAGTTCGAGAAAGTTTAGAACAACTTGTTAAATTCTTTAGAACTGCACGAGAATGAGACGTTACATCTTTGACTAAATACATTTAGCCTAATATGGACGATTTCCCAAGACGATGGTATAAGAGTTCAAGACCGGTTCAACTTTGTGAAGAGATTTTTACTGTTGAGTTAAGGACGCGAGAGAGACGTTTGATGTGTCAAACGTGAGTTAAATTAAAATTCCACATTGAATGTGAAGAGTGAGTGTGCCCCTTATAAATGAGAAAACTAGTATCTTAAAATTTGAGATGAAAAATGGTGGTGTCAAGTGACTTATGTGATTGCTTTTAACCAATGCGTTGATTCAACCCAATGAAACTCCCCCTTAGGTTTCAACAAGGATAAGTTGATTTCTTTAACAGTATGACACTGTTCAACATCAAAAGTGAAAATCTGGTGTCAACTTTGAATTCAAAAGTTCCTTTCATTTTTACAAAATTACAACTGAATCAAAAGCAGAAAAAAAAAGGTATAACCAAATTCTATTTATCAATAAGCATAAAATGATAGATATGATTTGTTGTTTGTAGTTTGATGACTAGTCATAATCCTCAGGATCAGCAAAAGGGTACTTATAGTATGCATTTCTTAATTTTGAAGGATCTTCAGGTACAGACCAAGGATACTCCATGTCTGGATCCCTTGGAAACTTCCTGAAGTTTAGAAAAGGTACCCAAACAAGTAACCTACGTTACAAAGAAAACAAAATATTAATCACATGCAACTCGTTATAACTAATACACAATCACTTATAAGAGAAGAAGCACTTACGCTGGGAAGAAAATGAAGACAAACATGAATTGCAAGTACATTTCAACAAGCTTTCTTCTGTACCATCTTTTCCAAAGCCAGAACAAGATCAGTGGCTGCAATAATATAGTTAAGCTATTATGCTCTCACTCAATATGAAGCTGTGAAATGAATTAAAACTTACTGGTGCAGTAAGGAAGTAGAAAAATAACACAATCCCAAGTTGTATCAAAATCCATGAGAGTTCTTGTGGATGATTATTTGCTCCAGTTACTGCTAATGCTGCTGGATGCTCAGCCTGTTTAAATAATCACTACCAAAATTTAGAGACACCAATCAGAAATTAGGGTTAATTCACTTCGTGACGACCACAATCAGTATTGAGATATCTGTACCGATCGAAATTGCAAAACTATATTTAAAAGAGTATAATCTCACCAAGGCCAAGAGTGCTGCTCCTATGGGCAGTGCCAAATTTGGTTTCTTTAGACTGACATGATCATTTGGCTTTTGGATGCAGCATTTTACTGTCTACAATTGGAATAGTGAATAGGTTAACTAATAATAGTAGAATGAAAGAAGCTAAGTAAAATATATGACTAAAGAAAATGAATACATGTAGTGATTGGTTGGAAGGAGTAGTAGTGTTGCTGTGGAATGGTTTGAGTTTGGAAGAAATGAAGAGAGAAGGTGATGATGATATATAATAGGGAAGAGGAGGTAGAGCTTTGGGAACATGGAGGCTGAATGAGCAGCTCATTTTTTGGTTACAGCTTTTTCTTAGATTGGTTCCTTATCTTTTTCATGTTTTGTTCCATGGCAATGAGTGAGTGAGTGAGTGAATGATAAAATTCATAATGACACGTGGAAATGAAACTCATCCACCACTACTCCGGTTGCTTATTGTCCATCCATTCAAGTTTGGAAGTAAGTAATAACAACATTATGTGATGCATGGTTTGAGTTCAACAATAAAAACATATTGGGCTTCAACAAATACAAACACTTCTTCTATCTACACCCTATTAGACATGAGCAGCTATTTTTGGCCCTATTAGCAAAAACAATTTTGTTTCTCCGTACCAGTTTAGGTTAGATTGAATCATTGAAACCAACCACCCCACCGTAATCTTAGAAGGGCGTTCTCCATTATACATCATATTGTGATCACACATTCTATAAAAATTGTAAAATGTCTTTCGTATCATCTGAATTTTAAAATTCGAACACGCCTTTCATACGCCAAATAACTATATCAGAGAACCAACACCATTTTTGCCAAAAATATGTTTGGAAATTAACCTCCGAACGCTGTTCATATTACAATATTCAGATTTCCAAGCGGAAAAACTAATTTAGCTACCACCTTGCATGTATACCACTCTTCATGTTCTTCATGACCATAACACCATATTTGAGAAACCCTACGAAAATCTCCTTTCATTTTCATTCAAGATATTTACTTCAAAATAGCATTCTTTTGTATTTAGACATCAAAAGGATAAAAAAAGTTGGAATTTAAGGTAATGTACATGTATTTCATTAATCATTGTTTAAGATCACCTGATTTATTTTGTTGAAACATGTACGTTCTGTCCGGATTTTGTTACAATGTGTCTGGAATTTGAAATCTTGACTGTTTTGATGTTGAATTTGAATTGTCTTATGTTATGATTAGTTGTAATTATAATGTATCCTGATGATGTCTCTTATGCTGCTTTCGAGGCTACTGTATCTATGGATGTTGAACCATGGGTGTTCATGTAGACGTTGGATTTTTTTTTTTACAAATAAACAAAAGTTTACTATACGTGAACATATGCTTAATGGGTTTGCCTAGAGGCTGCCAAATTAAGGTTCAACATTGTAATTGTGAGGCCAAATTCTAGTTCTGATAGACAACAAAAATCTGTGACGATGGAATGCGAAATAAGTGGCAAGTATAAGAAACTTATCCAGAAGTTGAAACACAATGAAATCGATACGAAGAAATGTGAATATTCTTTTAAATTACGCGAGTACCATAAGAAAAATAATACATGGACATTTAATGTGATTTGTTGTATACATGATCATGCTTTGTGATACAAGTTAGTCGATCGCCCCATTGTATGTCGTCTGAATTCTAAAGAGAAGAAACGTGTCTCTGACATGAAATTGAACATGGTTCATCCCAAAAACCTACTCTCAACTTTGAAAAGGAAAATATCCGAAAGTGTCGCAAATGTTAGGCAAGTGTAAAATGTTTTCACCCAAAACAATAAGACGATAAGAGGTCCAAGATATATAATGCAACAATTGTTTATACTTTTGTATGATGATCATTATGTATTTAGGTACAAAATATTGCGATGATGGAAAAATCATTCGATATATATTTTGGAGTCATCCAGATTCCATCAAATTGTTCAACATTTTCCCACAGTGTTGATAATTTATTCAATGTATAATACCAACAAGTACATGATACCACTTCTAAAAATTGTTGGTGTTAGTTCTACATATATGAATTTTTTAGTGGGTTTGCATTTTTGGAAATAAAAAATAGGATAATTTTACGTGAGCTTTGGAAGTGTGTCGGACTATGTTAAAAGACCAAGAAACATGCCATAGGTGATTTTTACCGACCGTGATATTGCATTGATGAATTCAGTTGCAAAGGTGTTTCCTACAACTTATGCTTTACTATGTAGGTATCATATAACAAAACAATGTGAGAGGTAGAATTAAGATTGTGGTAGGGACCAATAAAAATCAAGGGTGAAGACAGGAAAATGATCAAACCTAGTGTGATATTGGAAAACATAATGGATTCTTGGAATGCTGTCATACCCTAATTTTTACCCCTAATATCTCACCTTCATTTGCATCATTGGCATAACATCAAGAAATTTTGTTTGTGTCTTTTATGTATTACTTACCCCATTGAAATACAAAAAAATATGTTTTGTTTGCTTTGTCCACAAGTTAGGGTTTTGCATCAAGGAGCTCAATTGGTTGGTCAATCAAGGTTTATTTTGATCCTCAATATCCCAAGCTCCCAATTCATTCACGATGATCAAGATATTCCCTTCATAAATAATCAAGTTTGAGTTTACATCAATTAAAGTTCATCAAGTTCCAATTCATCATGTGCTCCAAATTAGGATTTTGGTCAAAGTCAGCTTGATGTTAATTTTTTTTTACCAAAACATGATCTTATGGCTTAGAATATGATTCAAAAGTTTTAAATAAATCTTGGTGGTCCATTCATGTGATCCAATTAACTCAAGAAGTATGATTCGTTGATAGTTGAAGAATTTGAATTCATCTAATATAAGATCAACAAATGCTCAAAGTAAAAGTTTGACTTTTGACATTTTTTGGTCAACCATGAATTGAATTTGATCAAGCTTAATCAATAAAATCAAGAAAAAAAATCCAAAGTTATCAAATTAGGGTTTTTTCAAATTTCTCTAAGTACAAGTTTACATGATCACGTGACCTACTTTCCAAGGCCATAGTTTTTTATTCAAGCATCCAATGGAAACATTTGAGGGCTCTTCTTAAAGATGGTATTTGATAATATAAATTGATAAAAATTAGGAGCCAAAATATTTCTTGAAGGGGAAGAAATTAATGATGAAAGTTAGGGTTCCAAGTTGTGTGAATTTCCAAACACAGAAAATTTTCTGTTTTTAACCTTGTCAAGTGCATGACTTTGTGGATTCTTTGCGAACAATTCAAGCCACCACTTTTGATGTTTGGGGCTGAAATTAAATATCATATTTCATACTTCACCTTAGTTGAAAATTTGGCCCAAAAAGCTTTTATCAATTGAGAGATATTGATGATCAAAGTTGAGGTTTCATCATGATGACCAATTACAAATGAACCAAAAATTTTCTAAGTTATAAGTCAGTTTGATTCACACGAATCGGAGGCACCTTTTGGTTATTTTCCAAGCATTTCTAAGACATGTGATCAACTTGAAAATTGTTTTTTGCCATGAGATCTTAAGATTGGTACCAAATCCATGGGAGATTGATCTTCATACAAAGGATAAAAACTTGATCTAATGTGCCACCTTGAAGTACTTTGTGCATAATGTTAAAGTTTCTTTTGATCAAAGAGCCTTCCACAAGTTAAGGGATTGTTCTAAGCATCAGAGACAACTTGTGAAATCTAATAAGCATGCCAAGATAAAGTCAACTATAAGCTACATTATAGCAAAAAACAAGTTGTACCTTTCACCACATTTTTAGACAAGATCAAAGATCCATTGAGCAATGCTAACAACCATTGATCCTAATCTGAATCAATTCACTATAAATGAAGGCCTTCATTGATCATCTAAGGACACCAGAATAGAGCCTAAACATCAGAAACACCATTGCTCTAAAATCTCAAACTCTATTTTTCTCAAAGCAAGCCAAGCATTTCATTAGACTCATAGAGACTCAAGAAAGCTGCAGACAGCATCATATTATAACTGTAAGTGGATTAGAAGGTGCAACGGACACACTCCGTTAGGTAAAAATTTCATTTATGGAACTCTATGTTATGAGCATAATTTCAATAATTTCTTGATACCAGTATACTTGCCATGATATGAGGAATAAAAACCCTAAACTATTTGTCATTGATTCATGTCGTGCATCGTTTAATTTTGATTTTAAAATTTAGGTTATTTTTTGTTCTTGATGAAATTCTTGATTTGTAGTTAAAATAAATGAAAACTAATTGCATATTTGAAATCCTCATGAAATTCTGAGTAAAATGATGTATCCACTTGTTCGATTTGATGAAAAACTGAGAAAGTTGCAATTTTAAAAAAAAATGAAGTTATGGTAACAACACGAGGAAGAAGATGAAGGTTCTGGCGCGTTTTTTCATTTTAAATATTTGTTTTATTATATATTATCATGGTTGTACATTTTGATTGACAAGTTAGCCTTGGCGTAGTGGTTGAAGTGTTGGTCTTGTGTGTGTAGGTTTGAGGTTGTGGGTGCAGTCCCCCAAATCTCATTTTCATTCTTTTCCTTTTTTTTTTTTTGTCTTTCCTTCCTTCTTTCTATTCTCTCTCTCTCTCTTATTTATTTATTTATTTATTTACTTTATTTTTTATTTATTTCTACTAATCTTATTTTTATCTTATCTTTTAAAAACCCAAAAAATATTTTAATCATTTATTTATTTTCTTCTTTTATTTTTAATTCACACTAAAAAAAATAAATATTTATTATCTTGTTTAGTTATTATTTTATTATTTATAATTTAAACCTTAAAAAAACAAAAATATTTTTATTCATCTTTTTGAATTATTTATTTTCATATTTATGCTTTTTATTTATTCATCTTTTAGAGTTTCTATTTATACTTGGATTTTATTTTTAGAACACTTTGATTAATTTGTGCACTTTGGTTAATATTATTGTTGATTTTGATATTCATGTTGTGTTCATATTTATTCATCCTTACTTATTATCTCATGATTATTTTAAATGCTTCATGTTTGATGCTTAAATGATAATATTAATGATGAATTCACGTCTCTTGCTTCTTTTGATCTCATTCATGATAGTTGGTTGTATAATACTTTACCTTGATGATTCACTTTGCCATGAGTATGTTTATTTGAAGTATGTGCTTGATGACTAATCTTGATGAATGTTTTTCTTAACATAATTAATTCTTATGCTTTTCCTTGATTAATGCTTGATGGTACATGATGTTTTGCCATGTATTGGTTAATTTCACTTGACACATGATATTTTGCCA